CCCCAAAACCCCAAAACCCCAAAACCCCAAAACCCCAATTTATAAAATTTAAATTGAAGCGATCTTTTTAATTAAATATTATAAATGGCACTATCATCCCAACATTTCTTGTTCATAATTCTTTTTGTCTCCACAAATGTTCGAGGCTATGGAGTATTGAATGAATTTATAAAAGACCCTAATATAGAGTATGATTTACTAATTAGAAGAGCACATCGCAACTTTAATGTTTTGATCCCTGTCATTGATGCTCTCAGGCGTGTGAACCTCAACTTTGAAGATCTAAATGAATTTAATTTTCCTTTTATCCAAATATTGTATACATCATCGTTTGCATTCAAGAAAATATTTGACTGCGAAAAAAATAACTGATTGATCCCATCTGTATTCCTAACAGTTCTATTTCAGGAATTTAGAAATTTATCTGTAACGGTTGTCACCGAAATGAAGTATGGGTTAATAGTATTCTTAATGAAATATGCAAAAAAGTCCTTCCAAATCAAACAAAAAATAATGAACACATATGGAGCAGAAGCCTTTGAAAGCAAATCTCAATGCATCAGAGCCAGAGTTGGAGAGTATTACATTCCTCTATTTAAAGGTACGGATACTTCACAATGAACAGAGTTTGATGACATCATCATCAGCTTCTTTGAGACGATCAACGAAGGATGGACCTATCATAAGGACATAATCATTAAATGTCTTGTTGTTACATTGATCTTTTCACTAAATGTATTGCTTATAAATAGAATTATGTCTGAGTGGAGGATCTATAAAAGTAATAAATCCACTCCCCAGAAGCTATTATCAGAAAGCATCAACAGATCTTCCAAAAGTCTGATCAACTTGAGCAATTACAGCAACAGTGTTCAATCCCAAAACCCAAGCGACCAAAGTCAAGAGTCAAATTGCCTATGCGAGACGCTCAGTGCAAAACCAAACTGTAATATGGCGAGCAATCCTAGCTATCAATGTGGATCCTCAAGTAGTGACTCAAGTATTTCACTTTCTTCAAAATAATGCACGGATGTAAAATAGTTAATATTAAGTTTTATTCTGAGGCTCAACGGAAGCATGTACCTCTGGGGTTTTGGGGTTTTGGGGTTTTGGGGTTTTGGGG